TATTAGGGCCCCCAACAACAACAAAAATTGCCTCCCACAATTGGGCTTAACTGCTTTTAACGGGCTTTTCGGGACTTCTTCATGGGTGATCCTCATTCGTATGGTGGCACTTTGTGTCACCGGGTGTTTATAGCTTGTGTGATGTCTTAGTGGAGTAGAACTTAAGTGAGCTACCTACTAAATAAATCACGTGGTATTCACAACGCCCCCGACACTTGACTACTGACTACTGCAGGTTAATTAACAAACTTATTGTCATACTTCAATATAATTGTGCTTTATGGCTATCAGGTTAAACGAGATTTCTGGCATTTGTAACTGTTGGATTCTCATCTTTGAGATCCCAATCTTACAGTCTGCAATCCTTGACTGAAAAACATTAAAAAACAAAAAGAAATCCTGGTACCAAAAAAAAGTTAAGGGAGAAAAATTGGTATTTTATTGTCTTTTTGTCTCCCTTTGCATGTTTTGACTTTCCTAATACTATAGAGTTAGCTTTAGGTAAGGACATTATTTCCATATTTGACCGTACTGCTGCTACTACTGTTGTTGCTGCTGTTTCTCTTTCCTCCCCCTCTTGCTCTCTTTGCATTTATAAAGGAAGTTACTGTTAAGAAATCAGAAATTCGACACTAAACTATTTAATAAATGTCTCATACATATTGTAGCTCTTGTCAGTCTTCTCCTTGTGGGATGCAATTTTTTCGTTATTTTGGAACCCCACCCTGGCTATTGCCAGGAGCCGCAATACAGCTCGGCCATAAATATGGCTTAATGGCTGAACACGGTTTTTGGGACCTCTCCACGGGTGATCCTCATCCACATGGTGGCACTTTGTGTCATCAGGTGTTTATCGCTTGTGTGATGTCCTAGTGGAATAAAAAGTATCACTACTACTATTGTAGCTCTTTGTGTTATCACAAGTCATCCCCTTGTGGATGCAATTTTTCATTACTTTTTCAAGAATTTCTTACCCCGATAGAAAGAAAAACCCTATTCACCATAGCGAGGACTTGAACCTGTGTTTCTAGGTTCTCCAGTTAAAGGAAACAAGACAGCAACAGCCAGAGTAACACACACACACACACACACAGATATATATATATATATATATATATATATATATATATATATATATATATATATATATATATTATACATACACATGCACTCATACATATTTAACATTCTGCCCTTTAGATAAAGAAATAGACAGATTCTAGGAATCCAGTTTCGTCCTTTTTAGGACGAAATTTTTTGTTATTTGAAGCCCCACTCTGGCTTTTGCCAGGGGCCGCAATATAGGCAGGCCATAAATATGGCCAAATGTCTGAACGCGGTTTCTGGGACCTCTCCACGGCGATCCTCATCCATATGGTGGCACTTTGTGTCATCGGGTGTTTATCGCTTGTGTGATGTCCTGGTGGGGTAGAAAGTCAGTCAGTCAGTTCTAGGAATAATGGGGGTAAAACGTGGGGTGGGTGGGGGGGGGGGGGAGACAGATTAACAAATCAAATGTAGCGTTTGCTATCATGATAAACTAACACACAAGAATAGAAGAATAATAATAACAAAATATTACTAATAATTGAATTTAACATAATTGACATCACACATGCAAATCACAGCATTATTTGATCTTGTGCTGATATGTCGCCGCTATCGCATACTACAGACTCTCCCATTCAGCCCAGGGACTCTTGCCGTCTGACGCATGTCCTACTGTTGGAGATCTTCCATCAGTCACCCGATGTCCAGCTTCTCTGACGCTACTTCCACCCTATGTTAAGCACCGGAACCGCTGGAGCTCCAAGGAAACAATCCCGCGGCACCAGTACTTAGAAATGGGTTGGAAGAAAGGAATCAATAGCCGGAGATTGGGTTAAGAGCTGTGTCCTAGAGGATTTAAAAACATTGTCATCGTTAAATTATCACTAGAACTTGATTTATTTATGACAAAAATACTGTCATTGTTAAATTAATACTGGAACTAATTCACATAGGAAAAACATATTGCCATTGTTAAACTCAAACTATTTTAGTATTCAAGGACATAAACATGTCGCTATAGTAAATAAACACCTTAATTAAGTCTGTGTAGACATATATACATTGTTAAATTAACGATGAATATGTTTCTCGGTGGTGAAACTGGAAACAGTTTCAAGTCTAGTTTCTTAGCAATGTTGAGAAATAATGGACCCAGAAGTTACACCCCACCCCTGTCCCTTCCAAATACCACCACCAACTGAGATTGGGCCTGGCAGGTCAACGCAGACCAACATGGGTAACATGACATTTTCTCAAAAGTAAAGACAGCCGGCTTGAAATTGACCATATCACTAATCAAACGCCGACTTGTCTAAATATGCAGGTAGCAACAAAAACATGTTTCAGGATGTGAAAAAAGGTCCATTACTTTCTTGCTGTAGCCTTGTCACTAGAACGTCCCGTGTTTATTGTAACTAACTTTTTAAAGCCGACCAATACTTCGTCTTTTAATTTTGCTTGCACTTTCACCGGGTGCAATTCATGTCATTTTATTTATAAAAACGCTGCAACACAACCACATATAACAGTAACATCGAATAAATAATGTGTCTACGTAAAATAATCCACCATATATCGGACATTATTTCGAATCTTCTAAACGGAAGAGAGAATCAACAACAGATGCTATCAAGTACTGGTATAGGAATTAGTCTGAAAGAGAATAATTACTGTAGCTCAACGTAAGTAAATATCACATAGCCCCCCTGGATTATCGCTATAAACATGATTTTTTAAAACGTTATCCTTGCGAAATCATTGTGTCTGGTAATGAAAGCGAAAGTGTTCGTTTCTGAAATATTGCATTCTGTTGCCCCCCCCCCCACCCCCCAGCTTCCCCTCGTGTATTCCTGGCATAACCATAATGAACATATTTAATAGCTATCTTCATAGATGCGAAATCAGCTGTTACATTACTGAAAAGCAAAAGCAACGCAAAACTAGCAGACCTAGGAGCTGCACTCCACGGGCCGAGTCAGAAATAAAAAAGGAGCTGTAGTACAGTGGATTCCATTCCATTGCATCTTACCTGGAAATGAAGAGGCTCAAAAATTGGCAAAGGAAGGTGCAAAACGACCCCAGCTTGATATATACATAACGTATGATGAGGCCAAGAGAATTTATAAGATGAACTTACAGTACCAAGTGGGATTCTAAACAATCAGGCCACAAAAAGGATGATGCATACTACCAACTTGACCGAAGAGACCAAGTATTCATCTTTAGACTCCAGAAAGGACATAACAGGCTGAAACACCACTCGTTCAACAAGCTAAAGACAGGAAACACTGATGATTGTAACTGTGGAAAGGGTAAAATTACGGCTAAACACTGCAGGAGTGCCCAACACATGCAGAACAGAGACATTTATTAGGCTCACACCCTTTCCTTATGAGGACGCACTCTTTGTAAATGTCAAGAACCTCGGGTTGAGGATTTCTTTAAACTTATTCACATTGATGTATCAAGGTGTAAGAAGAAGAAAACTATCAGGGGATTTCGGAACTGGTAGTCAATAGAGATGCAGAATTCCGAAATCCACCTGTCCGTTTACTGCCACACTGAATGCCCCTAGGTAACGGTTGGCACATTCATATTCTACAATAGTGGACACGGAGATCAGCTGAAATAAAAGTCTAAACATGCCAAATAAAGCACTAATTTGTGTAGGTAATTAAAGTTTCAGGTCTACAGGTTGCCCCTGCTGGATTCCAAAAACATAGCCCGTATGAATGAGATACTCGCTGTACGGAGGTGAGTTTAAACAGCCATGGGGGTAAAGATTCCTTGTGTGAGCCTAGTATCAGAGCACCATGCATTGGCCCTGCATTTATGGAAGGCTTCTTAGATGGCGGGGAATGATCATGTTCTGCTCCTGCCTTCTCTTGAGTGCTAATTTTCACATCTCGGAACTATTCACATTCAAAAACTGTTTTCAGTACTTTTTGGCAAAATTAAAATACTCAAAATTTTAAAACAATAAATGGTGGCCGAAAGGTCGTTGTGTTTGGAAGCTCGCTCTTTTTCGAGATACGCCTAGCCAGATCAAAGGGAGACAGAACAAACAGGAAACACCAAGAATGAAGAAGGAAGACATGCACCAGTGACATCAGGACGAGCGGTTTGATTCGGATGGAAACATTAAGCCAGAAATGGCACAAACACCAGTATTCAGTCACGAAAGTGACGCAAATAACCCAGACCACAAATATAGGCGGAGACTGTTAGCAGCCTAGGCTAGCTAGCAGCAGTCTGAACGTGGTCGAGCTTTTCTTTTTTTCTCAAAAGGACTTGGACTTGGACTCTTGAGTGCTGAACAGTTTTAGGTGGCTTCATCTCAGGACCCGTCTGATTGAGGGTGGGGGGGGGGGGGTGACGCACCACCTGTGACCAGGAAACAATGGTGACCACACAACAATGAGACCTCAGTGTCCCGCAAAACTACCTGGGAAGGCTAACCCTGGCATCAAATACCTGCAGAAGTTGGATGTGTCTGAAGAAAAACATAAATATCGCATTCATGTTGTAAAAGAGCACAACACTACAGCTTCGGATGAATACAAAAGAAGAAAGGCTGGTTTACCTTGACATTTGCTTCTTTCGGACTTTATTAAATCATCTGCTGACCAGATTTACCCTGTTAGAGTATTGGAAGTTGTAATTCATTCAAGAAATATCGGGTCATCCTAGCTGACACTAGTTAGTGATTTACATACGTTATTAACCATTTAATCCTCCTTGCCACCCTGTTACTCGGCATGTAATTCCAATTTGTATTAGTGTTTAGAGGCGAAGTGTCTCTTAAATAGGCTGTGCTATTACTTTTTTTTTTATTTTCACATTTGAAATTTTATTGATCAAATCATGACTTTCTTCATATCTGATCTTTATGTTCTCAAACCAGCTGGGGGTGGCCTTCCTCCAACAAAAGCAGGAGTAGGCTGGGTGACTTGTGTTCTGTGCCAAAGTCCTGTGCCTCCAACATCTCTTTGGTGTCTGGATCAATTTCAATAATGTCTAGCTCAAGAGCAGAAACCTCTGGTACATAGTTATCTCTCCTCTCCCTCTCTTCCTCCTGAAGTTTAATGGAGATATTCCTTACTGGTCCCTTTTGAATCCTCTTCATCAAATGTGTAACAAAGCCAGCAATCTTGTTCCTCAGCTTCTTGCTAGGGATGATTGCAATCTCCTCACACACCCGCTTGTTTGTGTGGAAGTCTTTGGTCAGCTTGGTGCAATATTTCTCAATAATTACACGAGAGGCCTTCTATTACTGACCATGCATGACTTTAAATGGGTGTTGAAAATCTCGACGAATGCTTCCACATTGCATTTGCAAGGAGGCTCAATTCTAAACATTTATATGTACTATATAAACAACATATGTACTTGTCTCGTTGAGACTATTTATGATATCATCAAATTTTGTCATTATGAGGACCACACCCAGAAACTGATTGGAGTCATTTAATAAAAATTAGGGAAGCTGCGCGGTCTCGAGGCATATTGTCCGCCTCGAGTGCTAGAGCTTCTGGGTTCAGTTCCGGGTAGGGGCTGGGATTTTTTTCACACGGACTTGGACCTCTAGTAATTCCCCCTGGTCTCTGGGTAGTGAGATCGAACGCTTGTGTGCATTGTTGCGCACGTAAAAAATCCCTTGGCAGTTGGAAATCGAAAAGAGTATCCTAACAGGCACAAATTTGGAGTTAAAAATCGACTCAAAGTATTTCAGGATCCTCGCCGGTGCTACAGAGCCCGTTACTGTGTTCATCTTCTTCGGACTCAGACTTGAGTTTGAAGAAAAACGGAGAAGTTATGGGTTACTGCGGCGTCCGTTGCTAAGGCGTTGCGAGTCCGACTCGTAATCCAACGTACCGCGACCGAAACCCACTGCAGGCTGCGTGGATTTTTATCGTGGTATAGGACGTCGCAGGTCGACCCAGCCTCAATTGGGTACCAGGATGGCTGTCCTGGGGAAGTAAAGACGGCCGGCGTAATGCTGACCACATTACCCACCGAGTGCCGATTGGTCTGTAAAAATATGGGACGCTCTGCCCATATACCCGATGCGCCTTAGGCTTAATAAGGGATCTTTACTTACTTACTTTATGGGTTATTACCCGTGTGCCATGATGTTGGTCCGTTGTTCAACCCCCCCCCCCCACCCCCCCCCCAACTTCCAAAAAAATGATTGCACAATATTGCCTTTTTGTGGACCGCATGCGACTCGCAGGCCACCATTTTGACACGCCTGATCTAAATAACAGGTACACGCTCATTACCGTTCACGTTGTGATGTTTTTTTTCCCCCCTGATGTGTTCTTACGTGGTGTCTTCTTCCGTGATGTTTCTAAGAGTGAAATATTGCGGGAATATTAAACACAGCCTTCATTTAAAACTTTTATTGCTGCCTGAATTTGCAGCTTTTCTAGTGTAGAAAACAGTGACTTGGAAATAACATTCAGCAAAGACCCCGTTACTAAAAAAATGAAAGGCATGAGTGCACCTATACGAAGCTGGATAGAGGACAATAGATGCTTTGAGAATACACGACGAATAAGAATTGGTAAGGTAGGAAAAGAAGGGAGGCTGGGGTTGGCAAGGCGGTGGAGGAGGTTTTCGGACTAGTAATATTGGAAAAGAAAATATGCAAAAAATTTACTATACGACGACGATGATGATGAATGTCTACTTTATTTAAAAGAGTCTAACACTATCAAATTGGTTATAATGGTTCCGATGTTGTTACACGTAACAACTAGGAAGCTAATTATTTTAAAAACAACAGATAAAAATGTAGCTGAAACATACTGTCATCACCTGCGTGCTATTTGAAAAAGAGATATTGATCTGCAGGGGTAGATATACTCACCATGTCTTACGCTAAACATACCTTCACCAGGGCACGTCTAGAGGAAAGGACACTGGTCAGCTGATGACCATGGTCTACGCTGTAAGGAAACACACCAGATACTATAAACTTTACACGCCCGAAAAAAAAAAAAAACAACCTCAGGTAATCTCCATGTATGTGGTAGACAATCAGAACCCGAGTCTTGCACCTACCACTGCGAGAACTCTGGAGCTATTTCCGGGTGCCTGCCTGCCTGCAGAAATGGAATAAAGTTATCATCATGGTTTATCTCTAATGAAAACAATTATGTGCAACTGTCATTAACTGTGTGTACTCTGTCATGTTTTAAGCGCCATGTAACTTTTAGTTTAGAATATCACGGCTATATACCCGTGGTTTAGTAACTGATCTTAACTAAAATAGTGTTAACTGTTGACGAAAGATTATGTTTGATTGAGCATGTGCTCCGAAACGGCGGAATGTATTCGAATGCGGTTGTAACTCATAGTTATGCTTGGATGTCTTAGTAATGGTGTCAATATGTATATAAGTGCGCTTGCTTTCTGACATCGGTTTTCTATTTCTCTGTCAATTCTACCATCTTCCGTGATCATACTTCCTAGATATTTAAACTCCCTAATTTCATTCAGACCAGAACCATTCATCTGTATGTAAAGTGGGCCAAGGGTTGTACTAATCTGCATTGTTTCGGAGTTGTTTGCATTGATCTTCACGTTGTATTTACTGCATGCTGAGTTCAACCTGTTAATATGGTCTTACAATTTTGGTTCAAGCAGGGATGTATTAGTTCAGGTCAGTTTGTCGTATAGGTACCTCTAAACTGTATCCATTAATTGTATGTTGCTATAGCTGTACTTAAAATATATACACAATAACCGTATTCAACTGTGGCACCCAGCTGTAGTGGTGATTAGTCTAGAAAACTAGGCACACTTCAGCTTTATATTTAATATAGAAATTTGTAGCTGGAAACAAACAGTACTATTGTGGGATGCAAAATTTTCTCCAGCTGGACAGAGGCTAATATTTAGTACCAGGAAATGCTCTGGGAAATTGACTTCACTACCCATCGACACCCTTTGAACAAAATAATTCTGACACTATCATCATACACTCGATGGCAAGTTATGACAGGTAAAGGGGTTATCTACTTAACCTTTTGTGAAATGAAGATAAAACACGATTGGAAGGGGAAAAAAATATGTATTCCGTCAGCTAATAAAGAACACACTTAGAAGATGGAGAACTTTGGAGCCGAACATAACACACTCCATAAATGAAGCTGTGAAAAAAAAAGATGCTGCTAGTGGATAGGACACACGTTGAGGGAGGAGAAAACACACACGAGAACAATATAACTAGAATGTTATTACACTGGAATTTGAAGATGCATTGTAATAAACGTAAAAGACAGAAGAGAGCTAGAGAGGGAAATAAAAGATAGGACGTGGACGAGCCCATGAAATACCAAAGGATAAAATGACTTGGCGTGAGCCGGTTGAGGACCTATATTTCATTGGACAAAAAGAGGCAGAAGAGAAAGAAACGTGAAAGATACATGAACACAAGACGCGCTGTTTAGTGCACCCACAAACTATATGTAGATAATTGTGCGTTACCTTTGGCGGACGTGCGGCTCCCAGCTTATTCTAGTGGCCTTTATTGCGTGTGCCACATTCCTTGTTAAAGAAAATCAATGATATCTCCATGATTTGTAGTTACATATACTATCACAAACAGATGGGGAAATGTCGAAGCAGAGATCAATATCGCACTACACACATATACCCAGAAGGTGGCTATGTCAGGGCAACCAGCCCGGTGTCAACATGTCCAGGTTTGGTCTGTGGTCATGAAAGTATCATGTTTTTCCTTTTAATATTTTGCTCATAACCAATAGTGCATCATCATTACCAAGTTCCTTGCCAACTGGCGTGGGCGAAAATGCATCTCCACATTCTGCTATCTTCAATAAGGTTGTCAAGAATCTTCTGGCATTGTCCACCTCTGTCTATTTTTTTACTAACCGTTCCAGTGGTTACATGTTCTAGTTTTCTTCTTTTCACAATGTTTAAAAAAAAAAAAAAAAAAATAACGATTGTCTGTTTTTTTTAATGTTTGTGATAAGTTGTCTTCGAGGCCTCGTCTCCTTCACGACAACCGGGGCTGCTCCTGTCAAGCTTAGCTGTCTGACACTCCCTGTCGGTTCTGGGACTTCGGTCTGGGGAAACAAGAACAGACCCGCTGCCCCTGTACATATATCTCGTAAGAGGCGACCAATTAGTGGTTTGACGAAATGATGTGTTTGGCCGAAAGCGCAGATATCGCAGCCTAGCTGTAAACCAAATTAACAAAGTGTCAACGGCATTGTTAAGGGCTGATGCAGAAGACGCAGATGTCTTAAGACGTTTAAGCTGTAATCTTCTTCTTCAGCGCTCCGAGCCTTGAGGTTCATTGCTGCAGATACAACCCTCCTCCACTCATCTCTCTGTTTGACCTTCTCTTTCCAGTTGGTGACACCAATTGTTTGCAGGTCTGTCTGGACGCTGTTTCTCCATAATCTTCTTGGTCTGCCTCGTGATCTACAACCATTCAGCTTCCTTGTGTTTTTACCTCTTTGTCATTTGACATTCTCTCTATGTTCACATGTGATTATTTCGATAACCTATACAGCATGCAATAAAAAATTGTGTTCGTCTTACTCATCGGGAGGCTTATGCTGGTGATAACTATGCTGATTTTTTTTATTTTGAATCGGCGTTTGTTCCTCCCCCCCCACCCCCAAATAAGGCAAAGTGAAAGCTCGATGTTTGTTTACATTAAAATTTTAAGTTTGTCACAGCTTATGAAACAGATGATAGCTTGCATGCCTACTTGTCCGGCAGTGTCTCTCTCTCTCTCTCTCTCTCTCTCTCTCTCTCTCTCTCTCTCTCTCTCTCTCTCTCTCTCTATATATATATATATATATATATATATATATATACACACACACACACACACACAACACACATATAAATAATATATATATATGTATATATCTGTATATATCTGTGTGTATATATATATATATATATATATATATATATATATATATATATATATATATATATATATATATATATATGTGTGTGTGTGTGTGTGTGTGTGTGTGTGTGTGTGGGCATGCATTGTATTTGGCTGATGTATATAGTATTTAGGTACCAATGTTGTAAAATATGCATGCAGAGTATTTACACATATAGTAAAGCTGCTTACCTGCGGCACATTTGGTTATGTGTTCTATTGCCAATTAAAGTTGGGATGTTTTCATAGAGCTGAGCGCCTGTGTCTATCTAGCCCAAAATTAGGGTCTGGATATTTCGTGGGAAGCGATGGCGTATTGTGTGATGTGG